CAACTTGAGAACAAAGCGACGGTGAGCTATCCGGCGAGTGTGTTGCCGGAAAACCCCTCTAATGGTCAAGTTAATACACTTGAAGAAGAGGTTAGGGCCAAAAGAGACAAAAGAAAGATAGCTCTGATCGCCAGAATTCCAGACTTATTGCATGGAGGCGCCGCACATTTTATATAGTTTCTGCGTACACCACTCTGCTCGTCCTTTCCTGGACACATGGACATACTACCCTCTCTTCGTCTTACACGTGTGTATGCGACAATACAGCCAAACAACATTGACAAAATAACTTAACAGTATTGACGCGTACGGATGGTAGGATCTTCCCCATAACTCTTGATTACGCCACGTATCGATCACTACCGAGCTACCCTTAGTGTGGTGTTGCGATCCTCTTTTGGAACTGCGCTATTTGCTCTGTCCTATCGAGTGCCCATGATAAACGCTCAACCGAACTCTGCAGCTCGGTTGCTCCCATGATCGGCTAAGCCTAATTCATGAAGAACAAATTCTATACAAACAGAAGCTCGGTCAAGTACATGACCCCAATTCGACTGAGCTAGCATCTCAGCCTAATCCACTTCGAGCCGTTCTAACCCAGACATGCAATCTCCAAGTCTGGCTCAAGCCCAAACTAGCTCGGCCCATTAGTTCGGCCTAAATCCCCCTCTCAGGACCTATGGTGGGCTCCACAAATCTCTTAAGTTCTCTCGTGTTGAGATTCCAATATGAGAGAAACTCAACCATTTTAAATATTCTGATTTTTTACCATCAAAATAAACCAATCCAAAATAACTATGGAAAAAAAAATAGAATTTTATTTAAAGGAAGTGGTGATACTTTTAAATTTGTATAATTGTTGACATCTTTAAGTTGTAATTTATTTATTTTTCTTATTAAAAATGATAAAGTGTAAAAGATTGATTTATTATTATTATAGACCATGAAAAAAATATTTCAAAATTGTATGATATAAATTTAAATTTAAATAATGTGGGCCCATTTAAAATAATTGTGATTATAAATGTGTTTTTCTGAATTACTTATCTAAATATTTATTCTAAGTATATATTATTATTTTTTGTATCAAATTTCATTATTGATTGTGTAGCCAAACAAAGCATTGGACAAATTGTGACCATGCTTAAAGTCACCAGTTCAAGCAATGGAAAGCTCTGCCTCTTGTCTTCTAGCAAGACCCATTGGGCACCTGCGTCCAACCCGACTTGACCCATTTTCTATGCGGCAGAATGAAACAAACCCAATTACAACCCATTTTCTAATTGGACGGGTTTAAATGGGTTTTAGATAGGTTATTGGGCGGGTTTATGGACATGGGCTAAACTTGCCAGCCCTACACTCCTGGACAATTTTGTCAACAATTTTGTAGAACACTAGAGCTTTTTCAGAGATGTTATTCGAAGAATTCATTTTGAATTTGAATTTTTGAAAATTTCTACGATGATTCTTGAAGGAGCTAGAGAATTGAAGAAGAGAAGAGTCAATTTCAAATATGCAAATTTCTATTGCTATAGAGGCTAGAGTTTTAATTTGAATTGTGTTGTAGTATGCTTTAGTCTACTTTTCAGATTGAGTGTTTACAAGGTTAGGAGAAGTTATAAATGTAGGTTGGATTTGTGAGTTCGGGGGGAATTGGAGAGATTGTAAAAAAACACTATTTCATCAATATAGATCATTTTATTTCATTTCCATGGTGTTCTAATTTTCCTTGCTGAGATTAGAGGAGAATCCTCAATAGTTTCTTTATAAATATTTTTTGATTCAATTATGATTTTTAATGTTAAGGTTATTTTGATTGACTGGTTTATTTATTTGAGAAAAGTTTTTGTTCTATATAATATATTGTTCTATCGTAGATTTCGAGCACGGTAGAAGCTTGATATCCCCTGCGAATCAAATAATTAGATTTTTATAGTGTAATCAATCAATCAAAATTACCAATCTTTCGAAACTAGTTTTTCTATGAAATAACCGTTTGTATCTTCTGATTTAAAATACCCTTTGTGCAGGTCTCAATTGAGTTATATAAATTGATTCTATAATATTTTAAAGAAAACTTTGGTGGAGGATCCTTGATGCCTTAGCAACCTTTTTTTCATAGTCATCTTATTTTATCTTTTAGCTAGTTATTTTTCTCAGATTATCCAACCATTTCAAAAATTCAAAATCATATTTTTCTCTATTTTATGTTAGTGTTTAGTAATTATTTTGAACAAACCAGTCCATGTGGATTCGACCTTGGATTCACCGAGTTATAATACTTTGTGACATCCTGCACTTGAGATTGCAATATAAAAGTTGTAGCATCTTACACTAATGACTAACTCACTTAAGCTTGTATATCTTGGATGGCATGATTCTTGGATGTCGCTTCATCCAATAATGCAATATTATTAAAAATCAAACCACAAACTCAATCTGCACAAACTCAATAGTCAGGATCCCATACACCTCCAAATTTGTCAATTAACAACACTTAGCATGCCACTCATTATAGTGCACGCATCAATTTGTATCGCGCCAATCCATGCAACCAAAATAAATAAATAAAATATGACAACGTTGAGTCATGTTTCCTTACTTTGGCTTAACTAAGATGTGACCTAAAGTCTGCAGGACTTTATACTTGTCTAAAAAATAGGATTACATTATTCATAATTGAATATCTCTAATAAATCTAGGTCAACCAAACTAACTTCCACATCTAAGTCATTTTAGAAGGGGGGAAATGTGCATTGAGATTTAATTTGATTAACATATTACAACATAATTTTATCGCAAAAATTTAAAATAAATAGTGACAATGTTAAACAGGTTACAAGATCCAAAGAATTGGAAATTCCCTACATCTTGTCAACATACATTGCATTCGCAAGATCAACTAAACCTTTATAGGATGAAAACATAATTTAAAAACTCAGGTTGTGTTTGGAGCAACTCTGAAAACATGATTCCAGGGCATTTTTTAATATTTTGTTTGGTTTAAGTTTTAAAAAATTGATTCTAATGTCACATTCCAAAACTTATTTCAGATCATGTTTGGAAAGCAGAGAGTTTTTCAAATTTTAAATTTTGAAAAGAGCAAAGTGGGTCAACCCGGTCATCCTCTCAGACATCCGGCTGGTTGACCAGAACAGTGTTTTTTTTTTTTTTTTGGGCAATTGACACCTATTATTTGAAAAAAAAAATGAGAATTTGTTTTTGATTTTTTTAAACAAAAAATAATATATATTTTTTATATTTTACATAAAAAATATTTTTGGAATTTTTGTTAAAATTTTAAATAAAAAATTAATTTTATCAATAATTATTTTTTTGAATTAAATTTTAAAAAGAGTTTGATTATGAGTTTTGAATAGAATTTTGAGTTGTATATTTGGCTATGAGTTATGAGTTACAAGTTTTTAAATAAAATTAATTTTTTAATTTAAAAATGAGGAAATATCATTTCCCCTCCAACTATCACGCGTTTTTCATGTTGACCCCCATACTTCGATTTATTTCAATTTACCTGAACTTTCCACAAATTGATCAATTAGACTCCTGCCGTCACCTTCCGTCCACAATTGGACGGAATGTACTGATGTGGGGGACAAATTGATTTTTAAAGTATAGTTTGGGGACAAATTGATTTTTAATTTGGGGGGTAAATTGATTATTAAGGTATAGTTTGGGGGGTAAAATAAAATTTTAAATGAACTTTGGTGCCACGTAAGCACATTCCGTCCAATTGTAGACCGAATGTGACGGCAGGGGCCAAATTGATCAAAAATTTGAAAGTTTGGGTATAAAATTGATATTAATCGAAGTCTGGGAGTCAACGTGAAAAACACGTGATAGTTTGGGGGGCAAAATGATATTTCCTCTTTAAAAATTTATTTTATAAATTCAAAACTCCTAACCAAACAAATTTTATCTTTTTAAATCATAATTCAAAAATTTATAAATTTAAAATATAACTCTCCACTTAAATCATAATTTTGAAACTCTATCAAACGCTACCTTGAGTTCTTTCTTACCTTGTTTTATTTTATTCTTAGAAATATGTTTAATTCACACAAAGACCCCCCAAATGAGTTGGCACCCATGCGCCTCTATTTTCTCTTTTTCCTCTCAAATGGTAAACAATTGCTTTTTCTCTCTCACGACCTTTCCTGTTTGGTGTAATTGTTAAAACAGATTATAGATTATTGTGAGATCATGAAATATCCCCTCACATGAATTGTAGAGATCCAACGAAGAGATGATCTTTGTCCCTGTAGACTTGCAAAGATGAGCGTGATTGGTGTCACCCAACCAAGGTTGCCACCCGGAGACACTCCGACGGTGAAGTCAATCACTTGATTGACAAAATGAAGGTATAGAAAATGAAAAGTGTTGGTGTGTAGTGCAGAGAGAGACAGCATACCTCAACTTGGGATGCCCCCTTTATATAGGTGAGGGAGGTATAATATTTGTTTGGGCTGGTCTTGTTTGGGTTAGCTCCAATAAGTTGATATATATTTTTTTCTGACTCCCACAATTATACAGCTTAACAGATTATAGATTATGACTTTAATTAGAAACTGTTAGTTTGTTTGGTGCAGCTGTTAGATTATAGATTTAAATTGCTGAGTAGTGTTGGTTAAATAAGTTGTAAAGTAACTTTTTCAATTAATTTTTATTTTTTGTTATTCACTACTTGTCTACATTTTTCATTAAAAAAAAAGAATAATCCATAGTCCATTTGGGTCTTTTTCTATTTTAAAAAAAAAAAAAAATTAAGAGTATAACCGTAAATTAACATGTCCACAGCAGACGCTGATAATCAGAAGTAAAGGGTGAACAGCTTCTCAGAATCAATTTTTTTGCATTAAAATAAGTTATTATTTGAAATAAGTTTAACCAAACAATCCAAAACTTTTCAAAAGCTATAAATTGACTAAAAAAAAAAAACAAACAAACACCCTTTGCCTTCTCTCGAAAACAGAGCTCTCTCTCACTCTTAAGACAACTAGGGTTTCAAGTTAGGCTTCCATTCACTGAACTAAAGTCGAGAATCATGCAAACTTACCGGGTGAGTTTTATGGACATTGATATGTATTATTATTGTTCCTATTATACCATGGTGAACATGGTCATGCGCACCACCCAAGTTGTCCCTTGGAGATCTTGAGGAACTGGACTCGAGATCGGATGGTCTGCATAGGGACCATCTTCAACCAGGCAATGGCGATGTAACTGAGGAGAGAACAAGCAGTCGTGTGGCACATCGGAAGATCGGGTACTTGAACCCATAGTTGCTCAGCAAGTACTTGTTCAACAACAGAACCCTTATGTTCGATGAGTACCACGACATCAATAGCCCCATCGTGAACACCCTGCTCTTTTCCTTCATTGATGACATTATATTATTAATATGATTGTCAATCAATCCAATCCAATCCAATTCTCCTCTAGGGTAGGGCTTCTTCCAAATTCAAATCCATACACTAGATGAGACAATCATTAGATTAGATCTGCCTACTAGGGTTGGAGAGAGAAACAAATAAAAGAGGAAGACCAACGCCAAGACGAAGACAGATCTCAAGACCATTAGTAAATGTAGAGAGAAAAATAGATCATGCACGACGAGGATTGGAAGACAAACTGTGTGAGGTATATACACAACAACAATAGAGAGAGAGAGAGAGAGAGAGAGAGAAACAGGTAGTGTGTTTTTATGTGAGAAATTAAAAGGGGTGTTGAGTTTTGAGGACGACTGACGACAATTTTGTCCTCTGCAAGCAAAATAAAGAGAGAACCAGAGAAAAAAGGTCTTTTTTTTTTTACTTTTCTTTTCTTTTCTTTCTGAGGTCCCTTGGCGCACCACCCAAGCCGTCTCCTTGGTGCATTCCCTAAGTTTCCTCCTTTGGCGCATTCTCTAAGCCATCTCCTTGGCGCACTTCCTAAGTCGCCTCCTATGGCACACTTTCTAAGCCGCGCTCCTTTTGACGTACTCACTAAGTCGTCTCCTTCACGTACCACCAAAGTTGCCTCCTGGTACACCATCCAATTCGCTCCCTTGCGCACTCAGTTATCTGTTCATGGTGAACATGGTTATGCGCACCACCCAAGTGGTCCCTTGGCACACCTACCTAAGCTAATTTTTCTATCAATATATTCAATATAATACATATTATTTCCTCTCTCTTTCTACTATTCTAACATGGTATCAGAGCTATAGATTAAGCTCTTGTTGTTCTTCGCCTTACTGGCGAGCGGCAACCTTGCCTTGGCTGCCCACCAGACTTCAACCCATTCCGCTGTCATATTTTTCTATCAATATCGTTTTATGGTAATCTCCTCCTTTGTTCACCAGATTATTCCTATCCCAAATATCTCTATCATATATATTTTTTACTCGTAATTTTTTTTTTTTTGTTTTTTTGTTTTTTGCGCTTCTACTCCACTTTGTCTTTTCCTCTGCTTCAAACTCAAATAGATTTCTATCTTCAAACCTATTTGAGTTTGAGGGGGGTATTATATCTATATCATGGTGAACATGGTTATGCGCACCACCCAAGTCGTCCCTTGGCACACCTACCCAAGCCGCCCCCTCTGGCACACAATCCAAGCTGCCCCTTTGGCACATAACCCAAGCTGCCCCCTTTGGCGCACAATCCAAGCGAACCACCCAAGTCGCCCCCTTTGGCGTACTATCCAAGCTATCTCCTAGCGCACTCAGTCATTTGTTGCCATCGTCGTTCAGCATCACATCATAAGTTATGTGTGTGCCACGCTTGCTGGTTCGACATCCGGTTAATTCCTACATCGGTCCGACATGATCCCGTAAACTGTCCCGACATTGATTCCAGTTAGCTCTTACATCGGTCCAGCATGATCCCTTTAAATTGTCCTGACATTGATTCCGGTTAGCTCTTACATCGGTTCGGCATGACCCCTTTAAACTGTCCCGACATTGATTCCGGTTAGCTTCTATAACGATCCGGTATGACCTTGTAAACTGTCCTGACATTGATTCCAGTTAGCTCCTACATCGGTCCGGCATGACCTCTTTAAACTTTCCTGGCATTAGTTCGAACCAATTCCTACAACGGTCCGACATGACCATAAACTGTCTCTCGACATTAGTTCCAGCCAGTTTCTATATCGGTCCGGCACGACCTTAAATTGTCCTGGCATTAGTTTTAGCCAGTTCCTACAATGGTCTGACACGACCATAAACTATCTCCTGGCAATAGGCTTGTACATATAGACTGAGAAAAAGTATCTTATAAGAGACCTAACTATGGCAATACCTAATATATCTAGGAAATAAATATCTAATATATGTAGGAATATATACCATATATACATTAACATCCCTCTCAAACTCAAGGAGAATAAACATCTTGAGTTTGGAGAGAGAGACTAAAATATAAAATAAAACTAAATAAAATAAAAGGCAAATAGATTGCAAAATCCGAACGGGAGCGCAAGGGCGCTTGAAATAGATCAGAGGTCAGAACTTTTATTGTATAGGACATATCATTCAATACAATTCATTCAATACATTCAATATAATACATATTATTTCCTCTCTCTTTCTCTACTATTCTAACAGTTCCATGAGTAATTTTATCTCTATCCACCATTGTTGTTTTGTTTTTTGAAGGCAACCTTCGGAGGTACGATTTGGATTAAAGGCGACATTTCTCAGGCTACAGAGGTGTATTTCAATGAGAAAACGCCATTTCACCTCAAAAAGTTTCCATCGTATGAGGAACCAAAGAAGATAGTGAAGGCTTTAAGGGAGAATTGGCACCCCAACTTTGCCAACATCTCCCTGATTTTTCAGGTTCTCCCTTTTCCTTCTAGTTGTTTATTTTCTTTTTGTTTTTTATTTTGAAGATTTTTATTTATTTTTTAATTCATTACAGCCTGATGGGGGGAAATCTGAGTTGCTAAAGCAGAGCTCTAAACAGTGAAAAAAAACTTAATAGCTTAATTGTATTCTTCTTTATTTCTTACTTTCAAATGGAATTACATGACCCTTTATATAGGATTTCCATACACATAATATTTAATGTGTCTTCCTACTTCTTGATTAATACATGAACTTGACCAATGAACCTTGACACCATAACTCTTATACATAAATATAACTCAGTACACGAATGTGTAAATAGAATACTCTAGAAGAAGAATGCATAAGACAAATGCTTTAACTTCAACACAGCCTTCTAGCTAAATCTATACAATATTTTTGTCATTAAATGGTTAATATAAATGTATGATTTAGAATATAGTTTGGTTTAAGGGTAATGTTTTCTCATTATGAAAAAATTTATTTTATTTTGCCAATAATTTTTTTTCTTTAAATTATTTCTTCTTGATCACAAACCTTTAACCATTTAGGTTCTTGTACTGCTCTCTGGTAAAGTTTTAGAGAACCAATTTTCTTTTTGCTCACTTACCAGTGGCCACGTTATTTCCAAGAGAGCTTGTCTCCAAGAAGCGAAGACAAGTCCGCAAGATGGGAATTGATAATTCCTTCTCCAATTTAAGCCATGCTGAAGTCCAAGTAAAATCTGCAAAAATGGTTGCACAAACTTATAGATTAAAGTGTGGATGGGTGTCTAGGTGGGTGGATCCAGATTTGTGTTCTCTTTTTTAGATTTTATAGCTGATGTGTTTAGTTGAGGTGCTCCTTTTTGGGTCTTTTGCTTGTGTATTCTTTAGCTCCTTGATGCTTTTTGGTTTTTATAAAAGTATTTTATCTATCAAAAAAATCTTAGATTAAAAATACAAAGCAAGAAGTTAAAAAAATCAAAACAAATATGCATGCTTGTTTCCAAGCTTTCAAACCAAATGTAAGAAAGTTGGAGAATCTACATCATTTTCTAGCAGAATAGAACCACTTGAAGAGACCCCAAAGAAATCTAATAAAAAAGAACATAATGAACCCATGAACCTGTTTCCTGCAAGATGACTGTGACTATTGAGTTATTTCACACTCAAATTCTCTAAAATTGGAACTGGCTGATAAACCAGAAGCTTATGAAACAAGACGGACATTTTGACTTTTTTAGTTACAAATTATTTCAGGTTGACGGTCAAAGTGGTTATTTTTTAGCTTTCGAGAAGTTGGGGAAGAGTTTAGGAGAAGCAATTATTTTTCAGGGATCATTTAATTTCTGAAATGTATCAACAGGTTTTAATGTAAGTTCTACAATTTTATATCTTCAATAATGATAATATTATTTCTTAAATATATTTTTATTGTATTATAAATGTAGTGAATTGCTTCGACTTTTTCGGCATTTGCTAAAGCTCGAAGTGAAGGGCAATCTTAGCATACAAAATATTTTCATTTCGGGTGGAGCTTCTTGTCATATTACCGTGATTGATTATAGTGTTAGAGGTAAAGTACTTTTTTAACCACAAATTAATTTGGAGTTACTTGTATTTTTTTTTTTGACTAAAATATTTTTTTGTAATAGTATCTCAAGGTGGCAACTCGAATTGGAAAGAGTTAGAAATACTGGTGAGGGATATGAATGCATGTTGTGAATATGCTTACAAAATAGGGGATATGGAATCATTTTTAAAGGGTCTTAGCAATGGATACTGTTGGAGAAAATACCAGAAACTAAACAATATTATTGATAAATGATGCAAAGAAAATGAGATACAAATAGATCAGGCTGAGGCACGGATATCTCGTTTTCTTTAAGGAGATCAAGCCCACTGCGGTAGGAAGAATCCAAATACCGATGCAGCAGTCACAATACTATGACTTGTCCCCTCCAGGATACAACAGCCCGACCACTTGTCGTATGGTTCAGGCCAACTCTTTTGGAGTTACTTGTATTTTTTTTTTTTTTGACTAAAATATTTTTTTGTAATAGTATCTCAAGGTGGCGACTTGAATTGGAAAGAGTTAGAAATACTGGTGAGGGATATGAATGCATCTTGTGAATATGCTTACAAAATAGGGGATATGGAATCATTTTTGAAGGGTCTTAGCAACGGATACAAAAAGTAAGCAATTTAGTTTCAAACACCTATCTCTTATTTGTATATGTTTTTTGTTTTATAAGCAATAGAGTAGGATATATATTGATTAAAAAATAAATAAATACAAAAACAGGACAAGGAGTTCTATACAAGGGAAGCAAGCACAATGCCCAAAAGAAAAAAGATGCAGAAAACCTTGTACATTACAAATCGCCCTCCAATCTTTAAACATTAGAAAGAAAGGAACCCTTTTAAATGGATGCCTAAAATGATGCCAAATGACACTTTTTCCCACAAGAAGCATACTCTTATCATATTATAATTTGGAGCATGTGACATACTACATTCCTATTCTTGTTCCACATACATGTTCCAAGTAACATATATCAGAAATGTATACTGATATATTTATATTTATATTTACATAAATCCTTTTTTTTTATTTTTTTTTTATTTTCTGCAGTTTCTTTGACAACTTGCATATGTTTCCATTATTTTGGAGGTTAGCAATGAGGAGATCTTTCACATGCGATGTGTGGGATTTGGTGAAAGGGATACCAAGAAAGATTTTCAGACCAATGATGTTCGGACAATCTTGGGGATTGATTATTCAAAATCACAGCAAGTTATCAAAAATCAAAGCCCATATTGATGCATTTGAAGACTCGAATTATCCGAAAAACCACTTGCTATACCTTTCAGCAGATGAATTATCATCATGGAATTGTTTGGCTCTAATTAGGAAGTCTTATGCTCACTTTGGAAAGTTGAAACAAGTTCTGAATGATCGGGTATATTCAGTTTATTTTGTTTGTAGTTAATAAAATTTGACATGAAATAATTATATATATATATATATTTTTTTTTTGAACGGAAAGAGTTACACCACCAGAAATTACATGGGAACAGGAAAAGCATCAAGCCGGACAATTTCACCAAGAGCCAATGGAGGATGGGAAACCCAACCAACTGGCAGTACATTATGGGCACAAGCTTGTGCTACCCAATGGGCAGCCCTATTGTTGGTTCTGTTTGTCCATTTCAGCTGAAAGTTGCCCTGCCTTGCAAGTTGACGAATATCAAGAAAGATGGCCAAAGTTTCCCAAGGAGGAACCTGTTCTGAGACACCCAGTTTAATAACCTCTTGATTGTCACTCTCAATGATGATGTTTTGTTGTAGGATATCCAGTATGAAGAGGACACACAACGACTTTGGGAGTCTGTCTTTCCAGACTATATACGAATGTTACGAGATGTAGCCTTAGGATTCGAAGCTAATTTTTCATCCAAGTTGGTTCCGGAGATGAAGGTTTTAAAGGATATGTGGCTTCTAGACCCATAGGAGGAAAAAATTTGAGTCTAATAGAAATATTTTTGGATCGTATTCGGATAAAATGGTGTTGAATAGATGCTTTGGCTTGTCTGTCAAGCCATGAGGTTTTAAACTAATACATTCTCTAAGAAGTTATCCTAACAATTGCATTGCACATTAGCATTGAATGTATGTATGCTTTAATAGGGTTTAGGTATGAATTTACTAATGGTTTAGGAAAGAGTTTCTTCTTCCTAGATAATATTTACTCACTCTACTTTTTGATTTGTTTTACTAGTTAAGCTATTATTAGTTATATACCTTAAGCCGTTCTTTGTTTTGGTGTATTGAATTAAATGAGATTAGTATAAGACCAACAACAGTTAATCTTGTGATTATTAATCTCTTTGAATTGTGTCTTATTTCATATTTGGGCTAACTCAAGTTGGGATTGTGATGAACAATTTGATAAAATCTTATTAATTTTGTAATTTAACTTGTTAGTCTGAATCTCTCTTTAGTTCCCTCTATTTTGTATCTTATCATCTTTTTGAGATTCAATAGTATATCCTTGGGATTGTATGCCAAGATTTTTAATTTTATGAGTCAAATATTAGATCAAGTATTTTGTTGGATTATTGATTACATTTTAAAAATAATGTCTATTCAAACAAATATGGCCTTGCCTTTTAAGTGTGTAGTAAAATGCATTAGATAGAAACCATAATTATACAATAGCACAACCCAAAATTAACTGTTTCTTCGAGAAACTGCTTTGGCCGCCATATGCACCAAGACTACCATTTTTTCAAGGTACCTTAGTAATACAAATGAAATCAAAAGAGTTACACAAGATTTTGATATCCACGTAATATATTTATAATATCCCCATTAGCAGCTTCTTCATGTTGGAGTTCATTTACTAATTTTACACAATCAGTAAGCAAGGTGATGGCCTTCACTTGACTTTGTACATACCAGTAAATTGCTTCAAAACACGCTCGAGTTTCCGCCATAATTGTTGAAGATGCCAAAAAAGAAAACTGTCGTGTTATGATGTACCCTGTGTTATCAAGACCAACCCAAGCTGCTCCTGCCTTGCACGTTGGTTTGTCCCACGCACCATCAATAAGTATCTTGTCAAAACACCTATCTGGACACCAAGATAAATTGTTGGTAACAACATAACAATCATCTATTACATTTGCTTGATTTCGGCCATCCACTCTTGGTGGTAGATGAATTTTCAAACTGAGCCTAATAGCCGACCATTCCAAATGATTAATTGTGATGGACTGTCTACAATCTGTTCATGGACAGCCTTGTTTCTATGCAACCAAATGCCCCAAAGGATTTTGCCAGACTCAATTATTGCATCCTTGTCCGGAGCTTGCTTGAACCAAAATTTGATCCATTCCCGGACTGACATTGCCTCACCTGCATCAAAATGAAGATTGAGCCGAGAAGCTTGCCAAATATGCTTGGAAAAAGGGCATTGAAAACACATGTGTTCAAGCATTTTATCCGACACCACACATCATGGGCACACTTCTGGACATCAATACCACGACCCCTTAAAATTACTCGAACGGGCGTGTCAACTCTTGATCAAAGGTTAAGATTGTTTCAGAGAAATGTTTTGGAGAAAAGGATTATGAAAATCAACTCAGGCCACGTTTGTTCAGGAAATTAAAGGGCACGCCATAAAAGGTAGTTTTGGTCACAAATTATTGTGGTTATATTGCAAACTATTGAATAAAATGTATGTGTATATATATATGAATCATTATAATTTCATTATGAATTATTGCAATAAAATTAGTCAAACAAAATTTTAAAGTCTTTCATAACAAATAGATATGTACAAAAGAAAAAAACATGAAAATAATTTTTTAAAATATTATAAAATTGAGACAGTTTTGGTAAAGGATGTGTACAAATAAATTATTTAAAAACAAATAGGTGTGGACTCATGTAAGGGTAATCCCCTTTTTTTTTTTTTATTTTTTTTTAAGATGGTGATGTAAGAGCATTCTAAGTAGATCACTTATAATAACTTTTTGCTAAATTAAGGGGTTAATTCTTCAAAAATCCTTCCCCAACAGATCCCTTATACTACTCATTAAATTTAGGATTGCTATAGTCACTCCCTATTTCTAGGGAGTCACTATAGCTCCCTTATATCTAACAGTGGTCGTCTAGTCGGATGTCCCAAATGAAGTGAAATGGGCAAAACTTGCTTCGCCAGTCCTAGCGATTGACTGGCCAGTCCCCCGGCTTTTGTTGCTCTTTCTTTTTCTATGTCTGTTTAATTATTTTATTATTAAAAAATATTCAAATTTAAAAACAATTAAAAAGATTATTTTAATAGAATAGAGAAAGAATGTGAAGTTTGTTGGGAGAAGTAGATAAAAAAATAATTTCTAAAATAAGAAATAAATTTTTTTAATAATATTTTAAAGTAAAATTTAAATAAGCTGCTGAGGATGCTCTAAGGGTGATCTAAGAGGTACTTAAAGCATGAGGCTTATACCTCGCATGAGAAATAAAATAAAATAAAAGTAGGTACATATGACATTATCTTTAAAGTAAACATATTTAGCCCAATAAAATTGTGAGGTTAATATTTAGGGTTGTTTTTTAAACTAGTTATTACATGAAAAAAGCTTTACATAATTAAATTTAGGAAAGTGATTAAGAGCTTTAAAACTAAAGCTCCAATTTGAGCTCTAGTGATGTGGCAAAGCAAACAAATATATATATATATATATATATATAGAAAATCAAGTTTAAACATCACATCATAGTAAGGCCCACCTCCATTAGAGCTCTCTAGAGTTCAGCTCTCAATCATTTTTGTTAAATTTATAACATATTAAAAGTTGATACATAATTTGTTATGTCATTATAAATATAATTGTGACATTAAATGATGAGTCTTAATCTTTTTCTTATTTTCTATTTCATTTTATGGGTTCATTTGGGATGTAGGTTGACTTTTTAGCTTTTTGGTTATTTTAGTCTGGGGTTAAAAAGCTTCATTTGTGATAAGTTTTTTTGGCTTTTTTGAGAGAAAAAATAAAATAATTATGGTTTGAATGTGACATTTTGTTTTATTGGGCTAAAAAGCCTATTTTGTCTTTTTGTAACTACTTTAACAAAAAAAAACCCCATTTTAACTCATCAAACGAAGACTATGTTATTTTTTTACTTACTTGCTTTTAGGTTTTTGCTGACTATAATATTCCCCTTTTGCAGTCATAGGATTCGATGAAAACTATCTGTAAATTTGATATCACTATCATACAACATTCTATGTTTTTTAATTGGTCCATTTGAAAACCATTTCTAATTTTAAGACCATTAGTTTGTAATGTTGTTTGTTTTAGTGTTTTTCTTTAGGTCACTTGTGAAATTATAATGCAAAATTAGTAGTGTTTAAATAATTGTAATGAACATTCTTAGCTGTTCTCTGAGGTTTAAGGCCCCATAAGATCACATTGTGAACTCTTTCAATCCTTAGTTTCACTTGGCTGGGTGTCAAGGTGCGCCCATCCAAGGGTCAACACCTTGATGCCACACACATTTGTGCCCTTTGGAGAGCCAAATACATGCCTAAGAAGTTGTTGGTGCAAGTCCAAGACATGCCATGAAGCAAGCTAGCCACCAAGTAGCAACTTTAGGCCAACTTTTAGAGGGTCAAATGTAATCTTTTTGCCTTGTAATTTTTTATGTAAGTACCTTAGTATTAAAGGTGTTTTGAGTCCAAGAGTTGTAATTTTTCTATTTTTGTAGAATTATTACAAATCCATTATGACTCCTCAAACATAGTGGATGTTTCCTCATGCCAGATAGAAAAGCGCTTAACAAACTATTATAAGAAGGGGGTACCCAAGTGTTGAACCAGACCACTTGTGCCTTTAATATACCCCAACCTTGTTTATGGTAAGGCAACTTTTGTAGCACTTTTGTGCATTGTTCAACTATTGTAATGCCTTCTTTTGAGTAATGAAAAGTTCATTTCGCTTTTATATTGTGCAAAGCCTCTCTGTTGTTGCTACTTCAATTTTAGCTTGTTGATTGTTATTTTGTGGCTTGTCTCCAAACTTGTGGCTCATCAACTGGACTAATATTGTATTTTCTTGTCTTTGCAAACCTTTCGAGCATTCTTGGCGGGCTAGTGAAGAGAGTTAACTAGCGCCACACACACTTGCTTATCTTCAACAAGGCTTCCGCATTGCCAGTGTATGACAGTTGGTATCAGAGCCCAGTCTATTTGGCTTTCTCTATTATTGGCTTTCTAAATGGAGGGTGCTGGCAACCGTCAACCATCGCAAAAGGAGAGAATTGAGCTCTTGGAGCAGCGTATGGACAATATGGAGGCCACGGCAACTTCATTAGCCACCCTTGAGCAACGGGTTTATGATCTTGAGCAAACTCATGGCCCTACTCATGGGCAAGATTTTGAGGATGTTGTCACTAAACTCAGGCTAAAGATTGAAGACCTCAGTGGCCGGGTTGGTGTTCTTACCCGTGCCTTTGGCAATGCACCTAGTGGCGGCATGGAATTCACTAGGGTGCGTGTACCCGAGCCCCGTGCCTACGGGGGCGCCCGAGATGCCAAGGAGTTAGACAACTTTCTTTTTGATATGGAGCAATATTTTAAAGCTGTGAAAGCTGATGCTGAGGAGACAAGGATTTCTATGGCCACAATGTATTTGTCCGGTGATGCCAAGTTATAGTGGCGGACTAAACATGATGAGATGCAACGCGGCTTATGCACAATTGAGACTTGGGAGCAACTGAAGCATGAACTTAAGCTCCAATTCTTCCCTGAAAATGTTGAGTATAATGCCTGGCGTGCTTTGCGGGATCTCAAGTACACCAGCACTATAAGAGATTATGTGAAAGAATTCTCTGGGCTTATGCTAGACATCAAAGATATGTCAGAGAAAGACAAGCTTTTCTTCTTCCTTGAGGGATTGAAGCCATGGGCCAGAGTTGAACTTCAAAGGCAAAGGTGCAAGATTTAGCCCATGCACAAGCAGCAGCTGAATGCCTTACGGACTACGCCGAACCTAAGTAACAGGATAGTAGTTCCCCGAGCAAGAACAGGGGAGGTGAAAAGTCCCAAGGCTATGGCAAACCCAAGAGTGGGGGAGCCAACACTTCTACATTCAAAACTCATTCGGGTGGAGGACAATGGCAACAGAAGAGCTATGGTGACAAGGCAAAAGCCCCTCAACACATCTCTACGAGCAAAATAAAGGGTCCTATCTCTTGTTTCTTATGCAATGGGCCACACCGGTTATTTGAATGTCCATAAAAGTGTGCCTTGAATGCTCTAGCAACTGTGTCTGACCATATCTCTCAACCAAGCGATGATGATAGCAAGGAAGAGGACGTGCGGTCTAAGCGAAGTGGCAAGGGTTCTAAGGCAGCTGGCTCTAGAGTGGGAGCCTTTCATATGATGAATGCCATGGAGAAGAAGGCTTCCACGGGGAGGCCTAAGAAGAATGCCAAGAGTGGGCAAGCATTCAGATCCTAAACAACTTGTGGAGTCTAGAGATGAAGGCAAAGGGAAGAAACCCATGTATAGTGGGGAATCATCAGGCAAGTTGAACAAGAGCAAGTCATCCAACAAAGGTTTGATGTTTGTGGATGTAAAAATCAATGGGAAGCCCCTTCGTGCGTTGATTAACACCGGGGCCACCCATAACTTTGTTGCGGGGAGTGAAGTTAAAAGACTTGGGCTATCTTTAGAGAAGGATGGCAGCCACATCAAGGCGGTTAACTCGGCAGCGTAGCCTATCTATAGGGTTGCAAAATCTGTTCATTTGAAGGTCAGCACTTGGAAAGGAAGAGTGGATTTCACCGCAGTGCCCATGGATGACTTCCAAGACATCCTTGGGTTGGATTTCTTGAGAAGCACGAAGACAGCAGTCATGCCTTATTCTAATAGTATGCATGTCATGGGGGATAAGCCATGTCTCATTCCTGCTATGGCCACCAACAACAGTGATCGGTTTGTCTCAACTATGCAACTCAAGAGGGGTGTTAGGCATGGTGAGAAAAATTGGGTTGCAACATTGAAGTTGAATGAAGCTCTTGATTCTACTCCTGTCCCAGCCACAGTCAAAAAGGTCTTAAGACAATTTGCAGATGTTATGCCTGAACAGTTGCCTAAGGAGTTGCCTCCATGACGAGGTGTGGATCATGCTATTGAGTTGGTGCCAGGGGCAAAGCCACCAGCTTGTGCACCATACAGAATGGCTATTTCAGAGTTGAATGAGTTAAGGAAGCAGCTTACAGAGTTATTGGAAGTAGGCTTTATCAGGCCATCTAAGGCCCCATTTGGTGCACCTGTCTTATTTCAAAAGAAGCATGATGGTAGTCTTCGCTTATGTGTAGATTATCGGGCACTCAACAAGCTGACCATCAAGAACAAGTATCCCCTTCCTCTTATTGCGGATTCATTTGATCAATTGAGCAAAGCAAGGTATTTCACTAAGCTAGATCTTTGGTCGGGGGTACTATCAAGTAAGGATTGCCGAGGGAGACGAGCCTAAAACTACTTGTGTTACCCATTATGGCTCTTATGAGTTTCTTGTCATGCCATTCGGCTTGACTAATGCCCCAGCAACAGTCTGCACCATGATGAATGAAGTTTTTCAAGAATATTTGGATCAATTCGTTGTGGTATATTTGGATGACATTGTAATCTATAGCTCCACTTTAGAAGAGCACGTGGAGCATCTTCAGAAGGCCCTTACCAAGCTGAGAGAGCACAAGCTTTATGTCAAGCTAGAGAAGTGTTCTTTTGCCCAAGAGAGGATTAAGTTCCTAGGGCACATTGTTGAGCATGGATGCATCAGAATGGCCCAAGAGAAGGTCAAGGCTATTCAAGAGTGGCAGCCACCTGCAAATGTCTCAGAGTTGCGGCCATTCCTTGGATTGGCTAATTATTATCACAAGTTTGTTGAAGGGTACTCAAGACTAGCTTCCCCATTGACAGAGTTGCTAAAGAAGGGCAAGCCATATGTTTAGGCAGAGGAATGCCAACAAGCCTTTCAAGCCTCGAAAGAAGCCATGTCAAGAGATCCTGTTCTTGTTCTACCGGACTTAGGTAAAGCTTTTGAGATACAAACGGATGCATCTGATTTTGCTTTGGGTGGTGTTCTTTTGCAGGATGGTCACCCAATTGCTTATGAGAGTAGGAAGCTCAATGATGCTGAGCGGAGATATCCAGCTCATGAGAAAGAGTTGCTTGCAGTAGTGCATTGTCTGAGGACTTGGAGGCACTACATCTTGGGCTCACAGTTTGTTGTGAAGACTAACAACACAACAGTTAGCCATTTCTTAACACAGCCCAAGCTAAGCGCACGACAAGCACGGTGGCAAGAGAAGTTGGCAGAGTTTGATTTTGCCTTAGAATATAAGGCCGGTGCCACCAACCATGTTCCTTTCTCATTACCAAAACAGGAAAGTTGCGACCTTTGTTGTTGGGGAACTTACACCACATTTATCATTCATCAAATAGAAAATGTGTTGGCTATGTATTTTATACGGACCAATCACAGTTTGACGCGTGACAAAATAAGAGCAATACAAGAAGACAATTCAAACTTTTGATCGTGATCGTACACGTGACAGTTAATATTAATTCTTACAAGATTTGCGTAGTACTGAATCAGCAAAGAGATGTAAAGTGACGTGGCCTTAACGGTTACTCACACATTTAAATTCAAAATTAGGAGGGAAGCCTAACTACATCTGACATAGTGGAGCTAACTGCAAGGAAGCATGATCAGTGATCATGAAGGGATGGTTTGACGGTTAGAAGTCCATTTCGACGGTTGTCATTAAGAAGCATAAAGAACAGAGAAGGCCTCAGAGAAACCCCCAGACTCAGATCCAAAGAAACTAGTTTTTATCTACTTTATTTCCTTTCCAGTTTTATATTTTATTTTCTTTGTATTTCTGTATTTTAAAATTCATGCACTGCACTTCGTTCATAGGAGTAGTTTCAAGGAGATTGTTGCTGTAAACCTTTACGAGGCTGAATTGGATTATTGTAAGTCTTTTATTTTACTTAATGAAATACTGTAATTGTTCTTCATTTAATCATTGTTAGTTTATTCCTCCTAAGCAAAGCCACCAGTAAAAGTCCTCTTCATTGAGGTTGAAAAAACTAAAACATAATCGTCTGATAATTAGTTGACAATTAAATTTTTGTAAAGACTGATTGATCCTTACTGGCACGCTCAAAAATACTGTAATAACCTTCGAAAGCTAAAAAGTCAACAAAATGACTATTATGTCCATTGGGTAATGTCCTTTTAACCTATCACATGATATTGTAACATTGTTAATTTTTTATTTTAATAAATTTTTTGTTTATATATTATTATTTAATGGCATGAAACGGTCCCCAACCCAACAAAGTTATTGAATGATATTTGTGTGTGTGGATGTTGGATATGTGGCATAAAATATAAAGAAAAAAACAATTTTAGGGACAATATAAATGTGGCTGGAGATTTCATAGCATAAAAAGTGCTATGCATCATCAATGTGGTGACTTTAAAGAGGTTGCTGTAAAATTTTAATAGAAATTTAAATTTCAGATTTCAAGTTAACTCTAAAGAAAAGAATAATAATAACAAAAGTATACTTGAGACTATTAATGGAATTAATTCAAGCAATATTTTTTTTGGGTGATTATGGTCTTTCACTTATGTACAAGTTTTTCAAAAACTAGAAAGCACTGCAACAATAATGTCCTACAAAACAAAGCTATAATAACAAAATTGCTACTCAAATGGACAATTTTATGGGATAATACATGAGCAATAATCTGAGTGGAGGAATGAGACCTGTGTCAACAAAATTCTTCATATTCATCAAGTTACGGACACGTAGGTCATGGAAAACTAGAATTCCCTCCAAGATAATTACATCAGATGCATTTACCTGACAAAGAACGTTGAATTGTAATTCAATGAAGTTAAAGGAAAATTCATAAATCACCAAAACAACATTGTCAATATAAAAAACACAACATTCTCTCTCTTTCTCTCACTCTTTGAGACACTCGGGGCAGACTAAATATTTTTGATGCAGACAATAATTACACTGATCCTTTTGTAGATAATGAAGATGACTCCTATTTCAGACCAAGCGCTTCTCCTAACATGGAAACAATTTTCAAACTCAGGCCTTTGAAAGTGATCTGAAGTTTTGGCTGTTGATAGCATGCATTTTTCTTTTAGTAGTGTGATATTGAATAGGCATTAACCAAATTTTGACATTGAAAGAGTTTGTCTTATTTCTTTTTTACTGTCATGAAATAGCTTTCACTTGGAGACAATGAAATTAGATTCAAAAGTGGACTCAACGTGCTCCACTCATATAAATACAAGAATCACCAATTTATTCTTTTTCTGTAAAATAAATAATGACGCAAGCATTAACAGTTTCTTCGTCTCCCAAATTGCAATGAAATGCAAAATCAGCATCAGAAGTTGTCCATAAATAGGTGAAACCTGTGGCTAGTTGCTTTGCTTAGGATGCCCACATAGTGGCCATGCTAGCTAACGGCAATGAGATGCAAAATCAGCATTAGAAGTTGGCCATGCTAGTTGTCCACTGTAAATTGAGGTATGCCATCTATTCTTAGGCTAGAACCTATTTCCTCTTTTAATAGGTAGGGAAAAACTATGAGTCTGTAAGTTGTTAGTAAATGTAACGCCCTAAAAAAAATAACATTAAACCCATCAAATAAGATATTCATTGACATATGAGATAACCACATTCTTTTATACATCAGAGTTTCATACAAAAGTATTACATGTTAACAACAAAAGCAAAATGCCTTACAGGCTTACAGCTTTCCAAGTTAACACTTGGTTACAACAAAAGAGTTCTAACTCGTTTACACATAAAGCCCTTGGCTTGAAATTACATGTAATACATCAAAAAGATAACGACAAAAGTATGTCCGCCTCTAGCCTCCCAAGCTATGTCCTTGGAGGTGGCATGCTACCTGTACCTGAAAATGCTGCAAATGTTGAGAACTGTGAGAAAAATTGATCCACTCCTCTCCTTACTGGGATCAAGGACATTTATAAGCTAAATTTAGAAATAGATTCTTGCCCACACCCCTTAACAAACGTAATTAATAATACCCAACCCAACCCAGCCCAGCCTAATGCCCTCTTTTCTCACATCAGAATTGTTAAGAAGCTTGGTGTTTCACCTGTGAGATTAATGTGGTAAGATAATATTAATGCAGGAGAAATTTATCCGAGAAAGGTCAAAACAATTATTGAATTTGCAATGACTTAATAAGTCTTTGTGGCTCAGAGACATTCTATGGACTTTGACCATAGCATGTAATAAGGAAGGGCATGCATAGCCAAAATTAGGATATTAAAATGAATGATTAGCAATAACATAAAACCTAGAAGTTGATTCATTCTTGACAAGTTCAAGGTCACAACAATTCTTAACAAAATTATATAAAGGAGCTGAGAAGCTTTTATCAAGTGCGATACATACCGACTACCACATTAATAGTACATACAAAATGTTGCATAGAATATTACCTATCTGCGATGGTTTTTAAAATCATATATTGGGACCTGGACAGATTCGCCACTTTTGAGTTTCTCAATGCACTCTACAAGCTGTTCGGAGTCAAAAGCATCTACACACAAGCAAACATATATTTTAGATTTGCACAAAAGCTCCTGTGCATTCTACTGCATTCTAGTTGTACCATATAGTCAGCAAAGCAGAGAAAAAAACACCAACAGAGTTTACGTACAAATTAAAGGCTTATAGCAATACTTAATTATAAATTTTATTACCAGGATGATCAAAGTTATATTCATGTAGTCGTTGTGCTTCTTTAGTTGTCAAGCCACAATAAAATGAATCCTACATATAAGCCACACCAAACATATATCCGAAAATTTGAAAGAGAAGTTTGCTTTCATAAAAGAGTGAGTAATCCAAGCCAATCAACCAAGTGTTTATCAAAATTCCTATTGCATTCCATATTGTAGCCATAGAATCCTTAACAACAAAAGTTAAAAAATATACATACCATACATGACATTCAACTCTTTGGTAAAAAAATCCCAACCATACACTGCCAGGTATTACTCACACTTACGATCATGACCATAATACCAGAAGGCCGTAGTAAAACACTCAATAAAGTGAGCTAGGTTTTTACTGGGGTCAAATATCATTCAATGAAATAATAAACTAAAAGAAAGAAAATTACAAGAAAAATGAAATTTAGAAAAGAAACCAAGAGAAATAAAGTGTGCCGAACACAACGATTGGTCGAAATTATCAAAAAGTTCATTACATTCACCACCGTAGTAGTACATTACACTGAGCATTATATTTTAAGTAAGAATACGTATATCAACTTAAAAGCACTTATCAATGAGAGCATCACAGAAAATATAATCATAACTAGCTAACTTGACATTCCAATATAACAAAAAAATCATTACAAATCAAAGTATTTCAAAAAAACAATTGTATTACCACACTTAAGAGAGGTAGAGAAAGAGGGAAACTCTACCCATGTGAAATGAGACTATTAGCTACAAAGTAGAGACATAATCTTTAAAATGTCGGAGAGTGAAATGTAATTAGATCAAATTTTAGGGTGTCAGTGTAATTTACCATAAATTAATAGAACTGTGAGGATGTTTGTGCAAAAGAATACGAAAAACAAGCCTTTTCCCTCGCTATCTCTCTCTCATCACTGTCAGTGTTCCCTCGCTCTGCGTTACATTCGAACCCTACATTTTCTCTGTCCGACACTAAATCTTCTTCAATCTCTCTCGATCCAGCCTACATTACTCGCTATACAAGGCAAGATTTCATCGGCTCAGTTTGCCGATCTCTGGTTTTCAAGCCCTCTGACGATGGAGGTGTCTTCGGAGGCTTCGTTGAGAAGATCGGCTCCATCATTCGCAAATCGGGAATCGGACTCTTCTCGAAGCCTCCAGTCCCTGCACTTCCACCGATTGCCAAGTCTGATGCGATCAAAGTCAAGAAAGACGACGCACCGATTGCCAAGTCTACTGCGATCAAAGTCAAGAAAGACGACGCCCCGACGATCCGGTGGAGGAAAGGTGAATTGATCGGTTGCGGCGCATTTGGAAGGGTTTATATGGGACTCAATATCGATTCTGGAGCTCTTCTAGCCATCAAGCAGGTTAATTTTTAATTTTTATTTTTTTGAAATCTGTTTGGTTTTGATTTTGTTGCTTTCTAATTTTTTAATATCTATGCAATGCAGGTTTCAATTGCAGGCAACAGTGCTGCAAAAGAGAAAACACAGGTTTTGTATTTCATAAATTAAAATTTTATTTGTTAGTTAAGTAGATTTCATGTCTTTATTTCTGCTCCTTCTTTTGTTTTAAATCAGATGTATGATGATGCTAGAGGGGTTTTATACCCCAGAACCTTGACTACTTAATTCTATTAGTTCACTGTTTTACCAAGAAAAAAAAAAAAGGAAAAAAAGAAGAAGAAGTTATGAAAAATATACGAATTCAATGTATAAATGGTTTAATACAATGTGTTTGTTAATTTTATAATATTTATACAACTAGACAATTTTCTCCCATGATTTTTTTATTTTATTTTATTTTATATTATGAACCAACATGTATTTTCTCTGTACAATCACTCAAGAAACTCTGAAATTGTGTTTGGATAGAATTTGTAAAAATAAAAATAATAATAATAAAAAAAAGAATGGAAAAGTGAACGAAACAGGCTTTTATTTCATGCACAAATCTATTTAATTTTTTTATATATATAAATTCAAAATTCTATGATAATTGTTTTTGTACAAATCTAAAATTCAATAGTCAAACTGATTTTATTCGAATAGTTTCTTTGGCTCCAAGCAATTTGGGTGGATATAGAATACTCATTTGTGCATAATCAACATCAATGAGTATAATATGAATTCTAAAGAATCAAAATATTTTGATGGAGATATGAAGTTGTTTGGTAATTTTTAATTTTTAAAGGAATTTCTAACAAGATAGGATTGTAAAGTAGTTAATAGATATTTTTAAGCTAATAATTTTAATATTATTTTAAATTTTGGCCAAAAGTCATGATTAAATTGTAACAAATAATTCAATTAGATTTTTTGAATTACTTAAAAAAGCCCAAGTTTATTTCTAGTAATAGTATAAATCCGGTATTAGATCTATTTTTAGTGTGTAATGTGACTTCAAACCAATAGATGTATTTTTTAAATTATTCATGGCATATAGATAAAGGAGCAAATGAACTAAATAATAGATTTTTTAATTAATTACAAATTAAGAAAATTAACAAATTAATTTGAATTTTTGATGCTTCCAAAACTCATCGATTAAATTTTTAAAAAAATAAACAAAAATTTATTGATTTTAGGAGAGTCCAATGCATACATATAATTGAACAAAACTCACAACTTGTTTAACAACCAGCAAATAAATGTTTAAATTTAAAGATAAACACAAATAAAATATTATTTTTTTAATATTATTAAGTTTGTATTCAATTTTGCACATTAATTCAAGTCCTCCTAGTTTTTTCATCTCCTTCTTCTTCTTACCCTCAACTTTAGCTTCTTATGATGATGATTACAAAAAGATATTCACCACTCTCAGTCACAACAGTGCCATTACTTTTTTGTTTGTCCAAAATATTTGAAAAGGAAAAACACTATGAAAATGGAGAAATGATTGAATAATTTTTAAAAAGTGATTCAATATTAAAAATAAAAATAAAAATATGAAGCACACAATTGAAAAATGTCCGATAAAAAAAAAAGGAAATGAAAATAAAACCTTTAGAATTGTAGTGATATACCCATGTCTTTATAAGTAAATTGTAGATAAACAGGTTTTGAGCGAGTGTTTATTTAGAAAGATGTAGAGAAGTAATCATGTTGTTGTAACAAAGAAGAGAGCATGCAATCAAGAGTTGTGAGTTTTTTTTTTCCTTCATCATCTTTAATTTCATTTTAGTGAGAATAGTACAACTATTTATGGAGATTGGAATGCGAACATAAGAGAAGTTTTTTTAGATTTTTTATAGAAAAGAAATAAGGATAACTATGCAGGATTTTTATCTTTTTTTTTTTTAATTTGCTTCTTTTTATCTCTGGGTTTTTTATTTGTTTTTAGATTTTTGTAGAAGAGAGATAAGGATAACTATATTGGATTTCTATCCTTTTATTTGAATTGTGGGAAATAAAGATATTATGTGATTTTTTTTTATTATTTTACTTTTATTTTTTTATATAGGGAGAGGGAGTGAGAAGATTTGAAAAGTGAAAAGGGAGCTAGAGGGGGGTTCCATGTATTTTTTTTT